ACATTCTGGTAGACAATTATACATTCAACAGAACCACGACGTGGTCCCGATCAGTAAATCAAAAAAGTACCATTAACCTCATAATAATTAATAAGTAATATATTGAGATTAGAACAATTTAATTCACAAGTAATATCGATGTGTACGCAGAAAAAAATGTTTTTGTTCCAGGGCCTAATAGATTTTTGTCATTCATTCTGAAATATTGTTGAATCAAAACCGGTTTGATTCTGCAACCGTCTTTTTGATTCAACAATATTTTTGTTGAAATAATGGTACAATAGTTTTAAATCAATGACAAACATCTATTAGGTCCTGAATCAAAAATATTTCCATTTTTAAATTAAAAAGAATTTCTCTGCGCGTGTAAATGCGAACAAATGATTTTCTTTAGCTTCTCGTTCTTTAGCTTTGATTTACAATTGATCATTATATGTTTAGGTCAATGATTGGTAATATGTTTAAATTTTACAAATACCTAATTAATTTAAAAAAAATGTGTACTCATATCCAGGCATGGAAAATCTTACATTCATTTGCCCCTAACTATTTTCATCAACAGAATTTCGCAAATTGGTGTATGGAATTTTTGTATGAACAATTTTGATGAAACCGGATGCATTTGACATGAAATTGTTATCAGTTTTAATGAATAATTTAAATGATTTATATTAATTCTCTTTTTTCCTGATACAAGAAGTAATTCTGAATGTAAAACAGGTCACTGATCCAAGATCATTTTGAGAAACAACAGAGATCTGATCATTTCCTTGAAATCGGTTCCGGTAAAGTGATCAGTAATGATAATCTTTTGAATCACGTCAATATGGGTATCAATCCTCATGACTTTTCAACGCAATGTCTCCAGAGGCGTTATCAGCGTTACCATGGAGCAGGTTCTGGGTTCCCCCGAGGAAGTGGCCAATTTGGGACATGACCGGAACCATATCAATATTGGTGTCAAACTTCAAGATTTGAAAGCCATTGCCAATGGTTGATTTTCCATGTTCACAGCTTACCGTGGTTACTCTGGAGCAGGTTTTGGATGCTCCGAGGGAAGTGGCCAATTTGGAAAATGGCCGGAACCATATAAAGTCATTGCTAAGGGAAAGTTTATAAAGTAAGCAGCTTGCTATGGCTAGCATAAAGCATGTCTGCGTGCCCGAATCTGAAAGTCAAACTTCAAAATTTAACATACCCAAGTAACATTGCAAGCTTTATAGAGGTTTTATAGCATTCTACAAGTTCAAATCATGATCTACAGAACCCTCATAAAACCAAAATTGTTACTTGGGTATTCTTCATAAACATATACAGTACATGTGTATGTTAAATGTTTTCTCCACAAGCAATTTGTCACAGCATGATATTACGTTGTCTGTGGTATTACCTGTAGCAGAAGAATAAATTGAGCTACGAATTCATCTTCAGATTATTCTCAAAGCCATTAGAGGCTGGTCATAAGCCTTTTAGATACTTTCTGGGAGGAGATGTGTTGAGGATTGTCTACGTCTAAAACCTATCAAAAACCGTCTGCCTAGTTTGTGAACAGCCCCTTATTATCGTGCATATTCTTCACTTTGAAGTGTAATGACGATTATAATCATAATAATTATTATAAAGGATTAGATTAAAAATTAACGATTCCAAGGAAAAAATTTCAACACAACTGTGGTTCTCAAATAACACTAGTTTACAGCATATTTGAACTTTGTACGCTGGTGGTCATTTCCCATATAAAATCGTGCGCTGAATCCAAAAATGTAGTCAGGAAAAATCTCAGTAGTATTTGTTTGTTGAAAGTTTGTTTTGACTATATTTTTGGATTCAGCGCACGATTTTACATAAGGATCATAAGTAAAACATTGAAGTTAATTTTTTATTACTTTTACTTATAAACTAGTGCAATATGACGTGCGCCAAACGCTAATTTTTCTCTGAATCGGCAATATTTTCTCCTTCATTAACGTCAGATCACACTTTTTGCATTTTTGTGCTAGTCCAGTATAAGCAAATGACTCATTCGCTTCATAAACTTGCGAATTGATTTCATATTGGGGATTACCAATAGACCCAAATTTTGAGTGGATCAACGCAGTTCACAAATTAGCACACAAATGGCGATATGTACTGTTCGTAATCAGATTGTTGTATTTTTTTTCATCGCGGTTGTCTCTTGGTGAGGCCACGATTGGGTCATCTTGACATTGTCATACACAGTGTATTTTAAAATTGAGAAAAACAGTTCTACAAAAACAAGCCGGCGCCGGTGGTGTAGTGGTAAACGTGACTGCTTTCTAACACCCCGATGGATCTGGGTTCAATCCCGGCCGAGGTCGGTGGGATTTTTCTGAGGCATAAAAATCTCTGGTCACGTCTTCCTTCGGAAGGGAAGTAAAGCCGTTGGTCCCGGCCCATGTGTGTTGAATGGGTGCGATATCCTACGCAGGTGTGGAAGCTGCCTTCCTGCACATTCGATTACCGTCAATGGATGGCAATCGATGTCCGCCGGTAATTGGCACTAGATTGCGGAACAGAGACCGACGTTAAATAAAGGAAAGAAAAAAAGTTCTACAAACACAATTTAGAGAGTAAACTTCGGTTAACGGTATAGTAGTGGGCTTATTTGGTAGAAAATTGCTTTTTTTTCTCAAAAATGGTGATGAGGCAAACTGCCCTTAAAAGCATGATTTTCCCATCTCTACATGATTTCCTATTCATATGGGACAGCTATCCTCTTATGGGCAGTAAACTATGTGAAATTTTGCTGATTTGTAGTCATAATAAAGATCTTCACATACCGTTAATTTTGCTAAATTCCGTCCACTAGGAAAACAGTTGAAAATCGAGCGTTTTATTCAAATTACTCAAAATTCATACATGCTCTGGCTGCCAATAAAGTCCAAAACTATATCGATAAATCACTAAATAGTTGTTCAACCACCAGCTAGGTTTTCAAAGATCTGTTTATTAATAGTGCTTTAAAAAATTGGCCATTCAGGTTTACTCTCAATTTTGAGAAACACTGTATATGCTATGCGAACGTAAACTTGATACATTTATATGCTACCAGGTCACCAGGTCTTCTATTGAATATAACAATAACCTATAGGTGTTGATATCCGTTGTATGACAATGTCGCATTTATCCTTCCCAACAACACGTGGTATTCCTGTGTAAATAAATGTGTAGTCTAAAACATCACATGACCCCCGGGCAAACTTTACAAAACAGGATATACATGCTTAAGGTCAACAACCAAGCAGCTCCATTTGCATTGAATAACTGTTCATACTTTTGTTTTTACTACACATCAAACACCGCGAATGCTATCGAAGGTGGTCGCATAGCGTGCATACACAGGTAGATGCAATCAGATTCGGCTTTCAACAGATTTCAACATAACAAAGTTGTTGATTAGCATTTGACAAGATACAGCTTCTGCTATAATAAATTGCCCGTTTAGAACATGGCGTTGATCAAAGTTTTGCGTGATGAACACAGTTCTACAAATCTGACGTAGGTACATTCGGTTAGATTTTATGCAATGCCTAATTTCTAGTAAACATTCTTTCCCTCGGCGTTCGTTGTCTCAAAGAACGCCAAACTCTACTTGCTTGTAATGTAAACATTGTGCAATGCGAGTGTAGGCAGGTGGAAGCTAATGAATGAATTTTAAAATGCCTAAACAAACATTTTAGCGTATTCACGCGATTATTTCCGTTTGCACAGGTTTGCAACGTTACGGCCACAATTCACCGTGTCAACTATTTCGCAGTCAGAAATGACTGCCAGCTGTGGCAGGAGGCACTGAACAAATAAACCGTATTCTAACCTTTATTCATCATTTCCTCACTAAATGATGCACGTATGCCCCGGCATCTAGCGTTGCAATTGTGGAGAAGCTGCATCTTGCATGTTATACATAAAATGGATTATAACGCAAACCGTTTTAATTTTATTTTGAATAGATTACAATGAGTTTTCTCCGTATTGAGCAATCACACCACCAGCGCACCATTGTGTAATGTCTAGCGAGTGGGCTGACAGTTACCGGTTTAGATGTTTGATGGTATGAAAGGTAGGGCGTAAATATTCTGTTCCGTATGAATTTTTACGATCTAGTCATGTACTGAGAACAGCGCACTGAGAGTAGTTTATGTTTTCGACCTATACCTACATATTTTTACCATTGCTTTGACAAAAGATATTGACCTTTAGAACAATGTAAGTCATTTAAGTACATGACTCCTCCGAAGAGCGCAGCGTTTTTTCGGCTGTACTTCAACCAATTGAGCTGATCATCTGACTCTAATTATTATTATTATTGACTCTAATCACATACAAAAAATCAACTCAATCGGTTGGCCAGAAAAATAGCGGGGGAATAACTATTCTGGTTGAGTGAATTCATCATGAGCCACACTATGCTCTTCTCTTGCACTCAACTGGTTGAGTAGGGTAAAGGAACGACCACGGTAACACACCACTTCCCCTATAAGTAACCTGCGTTTTACAAATCTGAGGTAAAGGATTGCAATTTAATATAGCTTCGTTTTCCCCATATAAACTTCTCAGTAATAGGTATGACAGATATAACTCGATTGGTTCAACAAGAGACTGCCGGAACATGTTTTTTTTAACTGTGGCAAACATACTATACTACCGCTGTACTACTTTAATCTAGTACCTCGACTGAGTCTGTGCCTATCTGTGGCCGTCGGAAGGATTAAAAAAATGTAATCTATATTATTATTATTATTATTTATTAACGACACTTTACCATCATCGTAGCATTCGTGTCGGGTAATCTATATGTTAGCTTATTTTCCGACTAAAATTTGTTTATTCAAATGCGCTGCGGCTAAAAAATACAAACTTGGTACAAACCAAAATATTCAGTCTAGCAAAAACTTGCTTGTACGCTACAGTCCATTGTAAGAACTGAGATATTTTCAAATCAATCTAACATTCAAATGATGTTTTATATCTTGTTTCAGACTTTCAACACAAACAATTTCACCAGTTTCGCCTCGTGATATTTGATTGTTGATTTTCACACACGGGCAGAACAACAAATAAAAACTCTTGCCTACATAGGATGGTAGAAAGTGAAACCGATTCTAGAAACTCAAAGTGTAAGTAACTACAGCTATAGTTAGTGGACAGAAACTTAACTGGTAAACTTGATAAAGCACTAAAAATTATAAAAAAAAAATCGTGCGAAATAGCCTAAAAACTTTACTAAACTAATACAGAACGCTCCCCCTACCCCTGAAACTTGCCCAATTGTAATTTCTCGTTATCTAATGATTCCTTACTTTCCTGCAGATACCGATGTAAGAGACGACAGAGTAGCTAACGGCGTCGGTTCGAACGAGTATCCGAACACCGTCTCTACGGAGAAATCCAGCAAAACTGACCACATCCATCAGACCAGCTTGCAGATCGTTGCCTCGAAGCAAGACAAAGCAACGCTCGATGCCGAGCGGGGCTACTCCAGCAAGGCTGACTTCGAGCAGGCAATAGAGCTCACTGGTTATGGCAGATTTCACTACATCCTACTAGCAATATGTGGTCTCGTAAGCACCAGCGAGGAGATGGACGTCATCTCGATGTCCTTCATCCTACCATCCGCCGAATGCGATCTCGACTTGAATACTCAAACCAAAGGATGGCTCAATTCGATTATCTTCATTGGCATGATGGTTGGTGCTTATGCTTGGGGAAGCGTTGCAGACTCGCTGGGTAGGAAAAAGGTTCTCATCGTCATCTCGATCATGAACGCAATCTGCATAGTAGCTTCCTCGTTTTCACAATCTTACGAAGTGTTTATGGTTTTCCGTTTCCTCAACGGTGCAGCGTAAGTTCATCCTGGTTACATTAGTTGCGAATTTTTTAATCGACCATTGATCTTTTCACAGACTGGGAGGTAGCGGGCCTGTCATCTGGTCCTACTTTGCAGAATTTCAGCCGAAATCAAAGCGTGGTTCTATGCTAAGCTTCATGGCAGCCTTTTGGACTATTGGTAATCTTCTAGTTGCAGGTTTGGCATGGCTTATCATCCCAACAAGTAAGTCTAAATTTGGAAATATCAAAAGGACTTATTTTATAATTTCTAACTATTCCTTTAGATATTGGATTCCATACACCAGCATTCACTTATAATTCATGGCGTATATTCCTGATGGTCTGCTCAATTCCATCGTTCATAGTCGCAGGTCTTCTCCTGTATCTACCGGAATCTCCCAAGTTCTTGCTATCACAGGGCAAATTTGACGAGGCTCTTGCCATCTTCCGTGGAATTTACGTAACCAACACGGGCAATTCTGCGGATCAATACCCTGTGAAAGAATTATTGATCGACGAACAGCTCAAAAATGAACTTGAAGAAGTGAAAAAACCTATCACCAACAAATACAAACGAATGATGTACAATATCATGGAGAACAGCAAGCAGTTGTTCATGCCACCAATTCTTCGATTTACACTTATCTCGATATCGATCAACCTCACATTCCATATCGGCTACTATGGGCTGATGATGTGGTTTCCTGAGCTATTCAACCGGTATGATGAATTCCTCCGAGCCCACCCAGATGCTGAAGAGGCTGGCGTTTGTCAGGTCACGAATTATGTAGTGGGTCTTGAATCACACGGGGAGTCTGGAGTTTGCTCTGCCACTATTCCTAGTTCAGTATTTTTGGAGTCACTAATCACCGTATCAGCCGCACTTCCAGCCAACATATTGGCAGTGTTGGGTATGGACAGACTAGGAAGAAAATTCTTTTTAGTATTCAGTACAATGGCAGCTGGTTTCTGTTCTGCATCGATGTTTTTCATTACCAATAAGTATCAAAATCTGGCCGTATCTGCAATCTTCAGCGGCGTTATCTCAATGGGTAATGCATCCCTTGATTGTCTGATTACGGAAGTGTTTCCAACGAATTTAAGGTATGTTTTTGCTCCCTGATTTTTAAAACTCTGAACATCATGTAACAAGATTTTATTTAATTGCAGAGCTACTGGTGTGGCCGTTTCCATGGTGGCTGCTCGTCTTGGTGGTATCGTCGGTAATGTGGTGATAGCAACCCTTCTGGATCTATATTGTCCAGCGCCAACGTTTATCATTGCTGTATTGTTAGCCGGAGGTGGTCTGATGTGCCTCTTCTTGCCAAATACTACGAAGACCGATTTGTCTTAAGGATGCCTTTTGCAAGTGTGGGAACTTGTGACGTAGACTTAATTCTTAAGCAGAACAGTTTCATTACCCTTCAGTGGCAACTATTCTAGACCGCATCATTAATTTTCTCATCCTGAAAATCTCACCCCATCTCGAAAGATCTTGAAATCGATGAATTTAATGTAGGTTTAAGTTTAATATTTTTTTTATTGAAAAAAAGGTTTGTACAATATATATATTTGTCGAGAATGGCAAATCTGAAGCATTGATACTATTGTTCCATTATTTAAAGTTTATAATTGAGTCAATGTGAAAAAAAGAGAAACTTAACACTTAAACACGTCGAAAAGATTGTAAAAATTCAATAAATGAAAACAGCATACATTGTTTTTAGTTTTATTCAAATTGAAATCCATGTTCGTACGTCTCCACTCTTTCTTCTATTTGAGCTTCATACAATGGGCTTCCCGGCCCATGTGTGTTGAATGGGTGCGATATCCTACGCAGGTGTGGAAACTGCCTTTCTGCACATTCGATTGCTGTCAATGGATGGCAATAGTTGTCCGTCGGAGATTGGCACTAGATTGCGGAACAGAGACCGACGTTATATAAAAGAAAGAAGAAGAAGAAGATCCATTGGACTTCGTAGTCGTTCAATTAGCGGTTCCCCTGCCCCCTCTGGCTTCCTCTACGCAGCTCCGGTGTGGGAGTCATGTGCACAGACTCACAGGAACAAAATCCAGGTCGCTCAGAATAGAGTGCTGAGAATGGTACTTGATCGTCCTTTCGACACTAGAATAACAAATTTAAACGAAGAGGCAGGCATTGCCAAATAGATTCAAGAATTAACGAAATTAAGACTAAATTTTCACAAAAATGTAATTTATCAGAACATGCTTTGATAAGCAATTTGTATATAGTAGGTTAGGTTATATAGAATATGTTGGTTAGTTGTAAATAGTAGTTTTAAGTAGTCTTCTTTTTTTAAATTTATAACAAACCAATCCCACCAAGGTGGTCATTCTCTAAACAGGCCTGATAGAACTAGGAACTGTAATTAATAATAATTGAAATTTCAAAAAAACTAAAGTTGAAAGACGTGTTGAGATGGCAACCACTGCACCTTTGGTGCCCCTCTTTTTCCTACACCACTGTAGTTTCTTTTGCTGGTGTTCATTATTCATTTTTCATCACTTGTAAACAAAACACGAGAGAATACACATTAACCTTTTTATCGCTTCTTGTAAATCGCGTTGTTAATCGTTTTATTCCTCCTGGTCCATCCGAAACCCTCTTTAGGTTGTGGGCCCAGGTCGCTTCGGAAGTGTCGGGAACCGAGTAAAGTGTAACGGTGTTACGATGGTGGAGGAAATACAGAACGATCGGTATCATCTGGCGTTGTTCGACGGAAGCAATTATTCGGCGTGGAAATTCCGCGTGACGGTGCTGCTTGAGGAGTACGACTTGCTCAACTGCGTCGAGCGGGAGTTGGCTGATATTGCTGAAATCAAAGAAGAAGCCGGTGATAATGCAGAAGTGAAGAAGCAGAAGGCGGCCGCCCGTGAGAAACGGGCCAAGCAGGAGAAGAAGTGTAAATCTCTCCTGATATCGAGGATCCACGACTCCCAGCTGGAGTATGTCCAGGACAAGCGTACCCCCAAGGAGGTTTGGGACGCGCTGGAGAGAGTGTTCGAGCGGAAGAGCATTGCCAGCCGGATGCACATCAAACGGAAGATACTTGGTATGCGTTTCGAAGGTGGGCAACTCCAAGAGCATTTCTTGCGGTTCGATGGACTGCGTTCTTGAACGGAGAACTCAACGAGGAGATTTACATGGCTCAGCCAGATGGGTTTGAGCAGGGGAAAGGCCTCGTTCGTCATCTTAATCGTTCCTTGTATGGCTTGAAGCAAGCGTCCCGCGCGTGGAATGAACGGTTCCACACATTCATAGTGAAGATGGGTTTCGTCCGCAGCGAGAACGACCAGTGTCTTTACGTACGAGGCGAAGGGAAAACAAAGTCATCGTTGTGCTCTACGTGGACGACATTTTGATGGCCAGCTCGTCTCTGAAAGTCTTGGAAGCTGTGAAGCGTGGATTTTCGGCGGAATTTGAGATGACGGATGCAGGAGAAGTAAAGCAGTTCTTGGGAATTTCCGTGGAACGAGATGCGCCGAACGGGATCATGCGGATTCATCAGCGCAACTATTTCGAAAACTTGCTGCAACGTTTCGAGATGAATGACAGCAAGCCGATATCCACGCCTTTGGAGAATCGATTGAAGCTGACGCGAGGAATCGAAGAACAGAGGACGTCGAAGCCGTACCGCGAGCTCGTTGGCTGCTTAATGTACGCTTCGCTAACGACGAGACCGGATCTTTCAGCAGCCGTGAACTACTTTAGTCAGTTCCAGTCTTGTCCGAACGAGAATCACTGGGTTCACCTCAAACGGATGTTAAGATACGTCAAGGAGACTCTGGATGTTGGACTGATCTTCCGGGATGATGAGTGTTCGCCAGTGTTGGAAGTATATTCGGATTCAGATTGGGCTAACGATTTGGTTGATCGTCGTTCCGTAACCGGTTGCATCTTCAAGTTGTTCGGTTGCACTATAAGCTGGATAACACGGAAGCAGCACACCGTGTCATTATCATCGACCGAGGCCGAGTTGTCAGCATTGTGCACAGCAGCTTGTCACACGCTGTGGCTGATACGCTTGCTACGGGATCTGGGCCAGAAGATCGATGAGCCGATAGTGGTTCATGAAGACAATCAGTCTACCATTCGGATCGCCGAGGACTGTCGTGATCATGGCTGACTAAAACACGTTGACACCAAATATCATTTTTTGAAGGACTTGATACACCAGGGCGTACTGAAGATTAAATTCGTCGGAACATCGGAGCAACAGGCTGATATTATGACGAAGGGACTTCCGCCCTCACCATTCAAGCATCTACGATCGTTGCTACACACAAAAAACAAAAATTGTTGCTTTAAGAATAATGCATGATCGAATTAAAAGTTTCCCAAATTTCGTAGTTTCAACTATGAAATTTTTCAAATGTAAAATAATGTTTTTGATTTAAAAGTGTTTCTTTCCCTTTCGGCTTGTAATTTTAAAAGTCTATTTTTTAGAATAAAAGTTGTAAAATTGTCAAAAAATCTCTTCCTTGCGATGTGTTTGACAGTACTGGACCTGTGTTTCTCGCCAAATTGGACATGCGAAACAAACAAACAAAACAAAAGCAGCTGTGAGAATTAGCATGAGCAGTAGCAGTTTCTTGAACTTTTCCACATTTTCATCCACCGCTTGTTTCTCTTCTGTAAGATACAAATAATAACATGGAGACATTCGTGGTGACGCTATGAAGTGGAAGGATTGGAAGGATCATCCAGCTGCGGGATTTGGAGGTAAGATGATGAAATTTTCGAAGAGTTTGCTTGGTTCCGATTTTCCTAATTGATGTGTTTTGATTTTCAGCAGCCTCGTCAGAATTGCCGGAAAGGAAGGCTACTCCCACCATCACCATCACCAGCTGTTCAGCCAACTGTATATTTGCGTTATACGCTTCCCATGCTTTGAAGTTCCATAATGCCGTGCCCTTTCAGTCAGCATCATATAAATAAACTAAAATATATTAAATTAAATATGTCTATGCTTTATTTCTTTCAAAGTAACAAGCAACTGAATTAAAAAGAATTCATATTTGAAATGAAATCATAAATCATTGCGATAAAACTGCCCATCTTTTAAATTAAATCCTTTCATAAGTCTATTTAACAAAATAGGTTTTCATATTGACAGTTCTACAATTCGATTTGAAAGTTTCAACTTTTAAAAGTAAAAAACGAGTTACTTTTGAATTAACAGTTAGCTGACTTTTGTTTTGAAAGCTAAAGACTTTCTACCAAAAAGAACCAACGGAAACTTTTAATTCTACCAATGAATTTTTCAATTTTACTAACGATAATTTTTTGTGTGTAGGACTAGGACGATGCTGTGGTTGAGCAGGGGTGTTGAGATGGCAACCACTGCACCTTTGGTGCCCCTCTTTTTCCTACACCACTGTAGTTTCTTTTGCTGGTGTTCATTATTCATTTTTCATCACTTGTAAACAAAACACGAGAGAATACAGTTAATCGTTTTATTCCTCCTGGTCCATCCGAAACCCTCTTTAAGGCGCATCTGTGTCACTTGATAAGTTATACATGAAAACCACACAAATTCAAGAAATATAGATCATTTCAAGTCAGAAAAAAAGTCCCCCTCTGGCTATACATATGAATCCTCTAGTTGTTTAGCGGTTTCATCGAAATCTCTGCGAATCTCGAGACGAATCCTTGGGAGTATTCCTGGTTTTACTTGGAAAATTTGGAAACTATCCTCCGTATCCTCCGTCGGTATAAATGGAGAGAATGCAAACTTAGTATAAAAATGGTTTATGCGTGCCATAGTATAAAATCGAAATATACTTACAATGCATAGATACGGTTTATTCGAGAGAATGTCTTTTTCGCTTTTTTTATTTTATTTATGGTAAATATTATTGTTTTCAAATAAAAATAAAAATTGTTTCAGGAAGGTTTTTAATTATTTTATTTATTATGAATATTATTTAAAAAATACTTACAATATTCATCATGGAATATATCGCGAATTGGTTGCCTGCAATTTACTGATTACCAATTCACGATATATTCCACGTAAAGTTGAGCGATAATACAAAACCATTAATGAACCTTACTGACTACCATAACCATTACCATTAATGTTCTCAAATCATAAGTAAAAACGTTCTTATATCGTTCTCTTTCTGAAAATGTATGGAGAAAACAAGAATTTGGAATGGTAATGGTTCTTAACAACCCATTATTTGTAAGGTCCAGTTCCAAAAAACCATAATACATAAGGTTGAAACTTTATCATTAAACGTTCATGTAAAGTTCCATAACCATTTCAGTTAAAGTTTAGCAGGGATTATAAACAATTTTCAACCATTTTAGGTAAGGTCAATTTATGGTTCGCGTTTATGCGGGTAGCCAACAATCAATATGAAACTAACGATTTTAAATTGGCTCACCACTTAAGTAGCCTATTGGTCCCAAGCAAACGATTAACGTACCCTATTCTAGTCGAAATTCTAGTACTACGCAATGTTTGTTTTGATTCGCTATGAAAGTTGGACAGATAAAATGAGGGGTTATTGGTTTTTCCTATGTTTCGAGGGGTGATTCGACAAGCTTGGGACCGAAGATAGTACCAGAGGTGAGCCAAAAAGTTGAGCACGTTTCTTCGGGACCTACTTGTCTTAGAGTTACCTCTATGGTCTAGCTGCCCAGCAGATCACAGGCGCAGTTGAAATCCGCAGGAACAAAGCTCTTCACCAGCACGAAGCTGCGAAGAGAATCCAAATGTTATTTTTCCTGTCATTTTAGTAAAAACTGATCGAATTCCACTCCGCTATTCGGACTTAGTATAATTTTGACGAAAATTTTAATCTAAACAATGTATAAATTTTGAAAAACCATAAAATGCATAAAATTTAATCTATTTTCGTTTTTGTAATATTTTTGAGTGTGCAAGACGCCAATCGAGCAAAGCGGTGCATTTTGACGGTTTTTGAGTGTAGAAGAGAGTTATTCTTATTGATCGTGAAAGTCTTGAGGTTAGTGCTTGCATTCGTCGTGCGTCTCGTTGGTCTCGTTGTGTCGTATTAGAAAAAAAAAATCATTTTAGTTCCGTTTGTTTTAAGTGGATTGGCGTTTTATTGCAGTTGAATTCAACCATTGCGCGTCATTTTCATTGTTTCATTCAATATATACGATCATTGTGCTCTTAAAACGTAAAGCATGAATTATTCGCCGTCGAAGCCCATTCCGCTGCTTCCCTCTAGCCCTCAGGAGAGCCCCAATCAAAGCTCTAAACGTAAGCTATCCACGTCGGATGTTGACTGTACCTCGTGTAACTTGGTGGCCAAAATACCGATTTTGTGCATTGGTTGTTACGATTATTTCTGCGATAATTGTATCAATTTGCTGGAGAGGAAATGTTTGCGGTGCAAAACGAACCCATCCCCCGGTTCACCGAAGTGCCAGGTTCACGATAAAGAATTGAATTTCTTCTGCTTGACCTGTCAGAAGGAAACATGCGCTGAATGTATTTTGGATGTCAAAGATCATAAGAGGCATATTTTCGATCGTTTAGACGCGGTTTACTTGGAGAAGCACGCTATTACAAACGAAAAAATCAAAGAGATCGAACTGCAAATCGAAATGCTCGAGAAACAAACGGAAGAGTCTGAGAAGAATCTGACATTGATCAAGCTCACAGAAGAACGCATAATGACAGAATTACAAGCACTCTTTGATATGGCCAAAAGTGAAGTAAGCGAGATTGGACAAGAAAAACGTGAAGAACTTGAGAAACGCATCCAACTTCCGATCGAACGTAGAGCATCAGTGAAACAACTACAGGACGACATCGAAGCGATTGGTCATTTCAATTTTATAAAACAACAGGAACGCTTCAACGCAGAGTGCGACAAACTACTAGAACAATGCAAAGAGTTTTCGACGGATTTTATTGACCATTACGACATTGGTTGGTAAGTTTGTTATGTGAACATTTTACTAAATACTTAGGTCTATTTTTATTTTTATTTCACGTTCCATGGTAAGATGGCTCAGCTAATACATTTATTAGTTTATATGTTCGCGAAAATCAACAGGTTCAATATAACCGGTGCAACCAGCATTAAGCCTGTTGATGTTGACAATCAAAAAATAGATAAATCTAGTAGATGATCTATTTTCCCCACTTTACCCTATATTATATATATTATATTTTTAACATATGTTTTCAGTGAGTTGATCCCTGCCACAAAACTGACCACTTACAGTATTGATTGTGTTGACGAAAAACATGAAACACTGAATCTAACACTTGATGACAGTACCGGTGACACCTGGAAAATGTCCGTTACCAAAGGAGAGCTGCTTAGTCTCATTGTTGCTCCAAATGAAAATGTTCCCTTGATTACTAGGTAAATTTAGCGTTCAGAATCAAAAAGGACCTTAATGTGGTGATCGATTCTCTTTTGTTAATAACTCGACAGGTTTAACATTTTTTGGTGCGTTTGATGTTGTTTTTGCTAGCTAATACATCCTTTTAGTAATTTCGGGAAATTGGTTCATTAACTGTAGTAATGTAATAATCGATGGAAAGAATCGATCATCGCAGTTAGCTCTTATGATTCTGAACGCTAGAAATATGAATTCTGCCAGACATACGAATAGCCACGGTTATATTTCAAATCGGCCCTCTAACCGACTTATCTTGCTGGTCAAATAAAACGTAACAACGCTTCATTTTTTCAGCCATAAATTCAAAGTAACCACCGAGATATCTCACAACGACATCTCAAAATCTCTCCGAAAGCGCTTTGTGATTCAAAGAAAAATGATGCAATTCGAACTGGCTACTATTGATCAGCTCACCTCAGGAGGATATCTGGAAAGCGGTAGTATGACCTTACATATCGCCATCGAACCATTAAACGTTGTGGAGGCTTACGATTATTACAAAGATAAGGCTGTACTCCTAAAGAAATCCCTCATTCACCACAAAAACTTGTTGAATGCTTCGAACGAATCATGCGATGCCACGAAGAAAGATACTGAGTAAGTTATTCCTTAATCGTTCCATGTTGGATGTTCACTGTAGAATTTCGTTTCTTGTTTGTGGATTTAGGAAAAACTTCTCGGTCGGGTACTATTTGTTGGATTACAGCAGCATTCAGAAACAAGCTAAAAGCGGCTTTATCTCTCCCAACATTATCGACTTCAATGGCAATGAATGGAAGATGGAAATCAAATTCGATCGTGATGAGTCTAACAAGATTCTACTGAGTGCTTACATCTTTCCTGCTCGCATCATCACCACCAGGTATGGCTGTAGAATTCATCTGTAATCAATTTTATGACATTTTTCTTTTATATTATCAAGCGAAAATTCACGACGCTGCGCATATTTCATCGAACTCATGCATTCCAATCCAGATGAGATAATCCGAGGCTTTGCTGAGAATTTGTTCGATGAAAGTGGTTTGGGCCGCGGATGGAAAGGATTTGTCGAACGTTTGCGTGTTCTGAATGACGTAGGTTTTGTGCGAAATGGAAAAATTTCGTTCCGTTACGGAGTTCGCCCTTCGGCGTAAATTTTGCAATATCGTCAATGTGTTTTTTTTTCTTTTTCGTATGGTTTTCACAAGAATGAATACTTACTTTTATTTCATGCAAAAATATCGACAAATGCGATATTTATAACGATTATCACATTGTTGCTGTGAATTATTTTTATGACCGTAAATTTGAGAGAGAAAATAATTTTAAACAACATTTAATGTAAATCCTTCCGTTGATCCGTTGATATTTTTGGAAAGCGAAAACAATGCATCAAACATGTAAAGTTTCAGAATACCATACCTTTTTTGCGGTATAAGGCACTGAATCAACGAATATTTCAGCAAAACAGAAAAATAATTTACCTATAAATAAATTTTCAAAATAATTTCATGCAAACCTAAAAATGTATCATGTTTCTTGTTTTCACAGTCTCCCATTACCGTTACAACACCTACTGTTTTATGGCGCATACTGTTGTCACACATCAAGATGCCTAACCGAAGTCGATTTAGATCTAACTAGTTTTCAATCCGACAAGTAGGCTTACTCAGATCGGGCTTTCCGCTGCCGTTGCCGTTCCGCTTCCGCCGTCATTGCGCTTGGGCCTTAACTATTGGACAATCAAAGTTGGCTCCCGTGGAGAATAGAAGAACTATGAAAGTAATGATGGTTTCAAAATTTTCCACGGGGAGGTTTACAAGTACAATCTTAAAATTCGACAGTGAGCATGCATAAGGGCCTATACGCGATGATCGATTCTCTTCATCGATTTTCTCTTTGCATTGCTACAGCTAAACGAAACAATTTTCTAGAATTTGTTCAATGCAGAGTAGTAACAGGTTGTATTGGCTATCAAAAGCAACAGCAAACGCACCGAGAAACGTTAAATCTAGCGAGTTATTAACAAAAGAGAAAATCGACGAAGAGAATCGATCATCGCGTATAGGCCCTTATGCATGCTCACTGTCGAATTCTTTTATTTTGCAAATGGAGCATTTTATTTAAATCTGGTATGCAACTAAAAATCTGAAAAGAAATTATTTTTTCTATAACATATGTCTATATGAGTAGCCCTTAAGTTTTCTACTAAGATAGCATTAACCAGACATAATTAAAATAATTTGTTCGCATTCAAATACATTTTAAGATTGCACTCGTATCCAGTATTTTACGATCGCTTATGGCCGCCACAATCTGGCTGAGTTTCTGGTAGGGAACATAAGATTTGAAGATTGGCTCAAGGTGGCTACATATAGGTGTTCTAATGTGTCAAATTCATGATTCAGCCATGTTGGATTTTTGTATGGGACAGCGACCGAGTTTGTTTACAATTTGCTCTAAAACCGCACTCCCCCCCCCCCCCCGCGACCTCCTCGCGTATATAGTGACAAAGCTGTATCACCATTTACATACCCACCATGGTTTGGCTTGTGTCGTTTGACGTGTAAACGTTCAAATTTGAACGTTTACACGTCAAACGACACAACCCAAACTTCAAAGCTTATGTTCCCTACCAGAAACTCAACCAGATTGTGGCGGCCATAAACTATCGTAAAATACTGGATAAGCGCTCGTAAAATGCTGGATACCTCACCGTGTAAAACTTTGAAATCATGTCCCCAGTTAAATTTGTTAGTTTCCAACCGTTGGTATTTACCTCTATACCTACCTCGGTACAGTTATGAACAATGTTTGGGTCGACAATCGGAAGCTCGTGCGGTCACATATCAACCAGCTTAAGGACCGTGCTGCAGCTGATCGTCATCATCAGGACCGTTGCCGATCGGACCTCTAGGCAATCCAACATCCTTGCCGTCTGCGACGCCCAACAGCTTGATGCACGTCCCGGTAGTGTCACCGGTGCTTCCATCATCCTTATCAGCATTCTCGTCGAGCTCTCCATAAGTATCGGTGTCTACGACAGGCTTAGTCACTTCGTACTTCCAGTCTGCCATCGAGCTAGAACCAGTTACCCATGCTCCTCGCCGCTCTTCGCGCATTCGAAGATTGCCTCAGTGATTCCAGCCGTACCTCATGTATTAGAGGGGAGATGTTGGGACTTTGAACCAACTCTATTTTTATCACTTTTTGGCTGCTCTCAGAGATGGCAGTCAAGCTGTCATCACGTCGATGCCGTGCCAGCACCAACGAGAAACATTATCAATAAGGGGTCGTCCATTAATTATGTCACACATTTAGGGGGGAGGGGGGGTTTTGAAAACTGTGACGAGCCATATAAAAAATGTGACAAAGGGGGAGGGGGGGTTGAAAATGGGCCAAATTTGCGTGACATAATTAATGGCCCATCCCTAAAGACATGTATTTTATAATCGTCTTGTTTTATTGTTAGATACAGTTTTAATTAGTTTATCTTACGTGTCGCGTTTTAATACTGCCATTCCGATACGGCTACCTCGGAAGAGTGCGATCGTAAAACTCCGCGCACATTTCAAGCTGAACAAAGCATTGAACATTGATCGATTCTACGAGCGATTCTCTTCATCGATTTTCTCTTTCGTCAATAACTTGGATACTGGAAATGTCTTAACATGGCCGTTAAGATACAAAGAGAAAGTCGACGAAGAGAAACTGGCAATGTTACTTAGGACCTAATGCATTGTTCAGCTTGATATTGGCAAATCAAAGTTGGCACTCGTGGAGAATAGAAGAACTATGCAAGTGATGATGGTTTCAAAATTTTCCACGGAGAGGTATACGAGTGCAATCTTAAAATGCTTTTATTTTGCAAATAGAGCATTTTATTTAAATCTGGTTGCTGCTACAGTGGTAGAAAAGCTGAAATCTATATATACACCTACAAATCTGAAAAGAAATTATTTGTTCTATATTATATATCTATTGAGTAGTCCTTAAGTTTTCTACTAACGTAGCATTAACCAGATTTGAATAAAATGCTCCATTTGCAAAATAAAAGCATTTTAAGATTGAACTCGTATACCTCACCGTGTAAAATTTTGAAATCATCATCACTTTCATAGTTCTTCTATTCTCCACGAGTACGAACTTTGATTTGCCAATTAACCACTTCATTCGAGCACTTAAAATGACGTTTACTACCACTCGAACTTTTAAATAAAACATTATTTTGAGATTTTTTCTTCTAGAACCTCGAGAAAAGTAGCCAACATTTGTGCGTTTCATAAAAAAATAGAAATTAGTTGGTCCAGTTTTGGGAAATCCCTGGTAGAAAGTCACGCCAAAACTGCTTGACAAAGTGGTCAATTTGAAATCATATTTTTCATAGTTCTTCTATTCTCCACGGGAGCTAACTATGATTCGCAATGTGAGTGGTTTTGTTTATGCGTGTGTTCATCGCATGCGATGTTTTTCTTTTTCTCGCGAGGGGTCCATCACTTTCGCTGTCATTTGACTAAATGATATTTTCTTGTTCTCTTTTGATTATGTCATTCGCTTCAGTGTGATGAGAAAGAGATACAGACGCAGAATATATAAAAAACATCAGCCGTTGGAAGGGAGCTGTCAAATTATTTTTCACATCTCGTTCGTTTTTCGTCGCGAAAAAATGGTGGACGTGGGACGTGGCTGATTCAGGCGAGTTTTTTTGGTTTACGGTGGTGAATTTTAAGATTTAATTCGCACTTATTGTGGAAAATTAGAAAAGACGTGATTATATTTAAGTGGATTCTTATTGAACGGTGCTTTGGGTAGATTCCGTTTTTGCTATCCAGGAGCTACTGGGTGAAAGTAGCGAAATTGCTAAAATCCGTAGTGCAGTGGTTGGATTAAGACAGTGATGATGTCGGAAGTGCTGCCTTCAGGGAAAGCAGGACTGCCTGCGGCCAATTCCGCCGCCACAGGGACGGTTTCAACTCAATTGGAACCCGACATGAAAGGTTGGCTGCTAAAGTGGACAAACTACCTCAAGGGATATCAGAAGCGGTGGTTTGTTCTGTCCAAAGGGGTACTATCCTATTATAGGTAAGCAATTTCCATCAGTTTTGTAACATCCATTAGTTCAGCGTTGTTTTTCCTTTCGTATCATACTTCTTTATTCATTTTGTTACTATTACCACAACTATCCTGTCACAATCCATTCTAACCATTTAAACCATTAAGCCCATTAAAACTGTCTTAAGTTACCTGTTTTCATTTGCATCTGAAAAAAAAACTAGATAAAACGTCATAACATGCCATCGTAAACAGAAACGCCAGCACACGATGCCCTGTTTTTTTTTACAATCGCAAAGCCTAGTGCGAATCGCAACTTAGTTTTTTGTTTTCTTGTTCACGATTACGGATGTGTGCACTCAATCAATGCAAGGCCACCCATATAAATGTTACGAAACAACGAATTTCGTGGAAGGGCAAACCTAACATTATATCCTTTGAATGTTTTTACAATTTTATTCTTTTAAAATGACAAAGATAGTCCATTTGACAGAAAATTATACGACTCTGGTTGGCTACAATAGTAGAGTTATCATTTTATCAACTTGTACTCAGCTGACAATACTGAAACATGTTTGTACAACATATTTGTCACTAGCTCAAAAGTCGGATGATTCGCAGAATCTACTTTGCTTCTGATAGTCCCCTAATCGGATAATCGCCCTACATATCAGTTTGAACTGATAATGAAAAGCTCGTTAGTGAATCAGTATTGATAAGAATTTGTTAGATCACTGAACTATGCTATAATAAAATAATGAAAGATATTCTTTTGAGCAACAAACTGTGAAAACTCACATTCATTGTCAAGAGTGAAATTTCCCATCTTATCTTTTGTATACAACCACACTTGCAAACACAAAACTACTCATCTAACCGTAGAAATTGTACTCGCATGCTTCAATGATTCAATCATTCTTCAAGCACGTGTCACACTAGCATACATAGTAGGTACAATCGACCTTACCATATGGTTCATTGTCATCATTTACTTACTCAAATCAACTCTTATCTTCTATTGCACTGATTTTACGAAAACGGGCTACACTGTTTGGCATAAAGGTTATTTGGCATAATAGTATTTTTTTGGTCCTGAATTTTCACCTAATCTAGCCTTTGAACACTGTTCCATCAAGTTTTTGAACACTGTATAATGCAATATCTTCCCGCTAATCAAAAACACTATAATGTGGATTTTATTACTCCAGAAAGTACCGGATTAAAAAGTTTATCGCGTGCTATCACTTTGCTGTCTGCTTTAGTTTTAGTATGGATTTAGCAGTCGGCTCAATATTTAATAATGCGGCCTTCATTTTGTCGGATTACCGGGGAATACTGAGTTAATGAATATTGTTTATTGAAAAATAAACTAAAATTATCTAGACTACTCCAAAAGTGCAAAAAGCGAGAAGAAAAGTCATAAAAGTGCAAGTTTACATAAATCGTCTATGCGCATTAATATTTAATTTTCACAAATTTACTTTGCATGGCCATAAAATTAACAAAATAAAAATCTTTTAAAAATATGATGGAGAAATCTAGTTTTTTTTTCAAGTGGTGTTTTTTTTTACAAAAATTTGATACGCTGACTTTTTGAGACTCAGCAGTTTTGTACATTCAAAAAATCTGGCGACGTATTAAAATCACGGAAACATTCAAGCACCCTCATAAAATCAATTCCTCGTGACTTCTGTTGAATCTAAACGATGTCACATAAATTTCAAATGAAATTCGAATACATACGCTTAAATCAATGTAAATGTAATTTTCATATCGATTGACAGCAATAATGATTATAGCTTTGCCACGTTAGCTGATTCGTAATGTTGGGAAAAAATACCGCGAAATGAAAATGAAAGAATTTTAAAATTACAAGTTTCATTGGTTACAAGATTTTGATATACTTATGCCAAACGGTGTTCCCCCTATTGGTCGTATGTGCTATTGTATGTAACAATAACGTTCAATCATTATGCTCGCATTTAGAATCTCTAATCACCTGATTATTATTGTGCTTATCGGTGGCCACATAGCACATTTTCTGGGCAAATCGAATAAGCACACCTTCATTTTAGAGATATTTGTAATGCTTGAAGGCAGCAACGTCAACCAAAGAAATAAGCACTTCTTTTGTAAAATACTTTTCTGTTAGTGTGTGTATATTCCTGCATCAACATTTCAAAAAGGCGAATCTGGTTTTGTAAACAATGCCTTTGGTCGTTAAATTAAATCTCACACATGCATACTAACCACAGCATCAGTAGGGGAATGATGGTTGATCTTGTTTTGTGAAAAATAGGCTTCAAAATAACGGTTAAAGTTTGACCGAACGTTCAGTTACTTATGTTGGTTTAGAAAGCTACCGAAAATGGCAATTTCAGAGTTCATAGGACTAGTAGAGATTAACTTTATTATGTTTGTGGTGCCAATTGGGTTCTTTTATTTTGAATAATATATCGGTTACTTTACATCATCTGAAAGGGCTTCGTTTTCTGAGCACAACGATATTTTTTTTCGATCCCATTGGCTTCCATCTCGATTTTTAAATCAAGATTCAAAGCAAAATAATTACTTCACTGTTTGACACAAAACTAACAAATTGACTGCTCGCACCCATACGAAGTACCACCGAGGGGCGCTAAGATGGTAATTTTTGCTAATGTAATCGCACTTACTTTAAATAGTTCCAATGCTCTAAAATTGGTGAAATTTTTTATTTCGGTTTCATTGGTAATGCAGATTACGAATATGCAATTACCTCAATACCCCTAAAGAACCCAATTGGTAATGTTTGTATAAATGAACAAAAAATCACATAATAGTGACTAATAAAATGAGAAACGTTGAATTTAGTACGCAAAATAAATAAAATAATGATTGACCTGCATATAACCTCACATCAGTCCCAATATGTGTTTTCGTCAATTTTAGATTATCAACACTACTATGCACTATCAATTGGCATCTACTTTCATACAGTGGGATCTGATTTTGGTAAACGACACTAAGGTCTCAAATCTAAAAATACACAACGCTGTCTAATCAAGCTCAACGTTTCGCATTTGTGTGAGCATTTGGGAATGCCGAAGGAAGGAATTGCAGTTAAAAAAAATTATGTAATAAAACATAAAACCCAATACAAAGTAATGACATAGCATACGTCGCATCTGTCTAATTTCAGAAATATAATACCCCAGAAGACCAGATTATATCTTCTTATATTAATTTTAAAAGCTGAATTCAACCATCTACAACGCAGACGTAAGTTAAAAACCCCAACTAATCCGCCTATGCCCCGAAACGTGGGTAGATCACCTTTTCGTGGTACGTTACGGTGGTAGATCTTACACCGCAGCCTAGTCCTGACTACTTCAAACTAGGGGAACAGGATTTTTTCAGTAATCAAAGGAACACATCTTGGTCCTTGTTACTTTTTATGCCTTGTTGATAGCGACAAGACTCGGCTTAGTCCACCGAGGATGAACTTGAAACAAGGAAAAAATGAGTTATAGTCATAGTCTTTATCTATGTGAATTCGTTGTTCCCTAGTTTGAAGTGATTAAGACTAGGGTTCTGATGCATGGTCATTATCGGTGTCATTGTTTAATTTTGTTGCTAAGGAATCCAATTTTGACTGACAAAGAGGCGCGCCTTTGGAGGGTGTTTCAACACTCCGAAGGGTTTAAATAGCGGGACCTTTCAATTAGAGTCGGATCATTGCGAAAAATGCAAGAATGACAACGGTAAAAAAAACGACAAATACGACATGAAACGGTTCTGTACCCTAGTTAATAACCAAAGAAGAAAGTCAATGAAGAGATTCGATCAATGTTACTTACCTAATGCATTGTTCAACTTGATATGATGTGCTCACAGGATAGGTTTCATTCGTTTCAGGTCAGGTTTAGTCTCAAGGTCGTACAATTAGGAACTTGTGCCGGATCTATGTCCGGAACCAGTTGACCGATTCCAAAACAATTCAATAGTGCAGAGGCGTCCCGTGGCCGTGACTACAAGTTCTACCTGTTCGACAAGTTCCATGTTTAAACAAAATGCGCTAAATAAAGTCAATTATGTGATACTTTTTTTTAAATCGTAGGGCGAAAGCATGGAAATATAATTATCACAAATAATTTGTGATGTTATGAAATGAATTGATTTGTTATATGGTTTCTAGGCGTACTGCAACATACTGAAATCATACCACTTTATTCAGCGGAGCTAAAACATAGTTTAGATAAAAATTAAGAAATTGTATTCAAGACACGACCGTAGATTTATTTAACGTAGGTTTACGTGCTCGGTATCAATATTCGGCGACTGTGTTAGGGAAGCCACTTTTTCCCATCATGAACACGCGTCATTTTCTGATGACAAAATTATTTGCGAACAATCATATACTTCTTCTTATTCTTCGCATTTCAAGCTTAATGCTTACCGCATTTTAGCTTATTGCGTGCTCTCAACTTAGTGTTCTAGTTGCACTTCCCCAGTTATTAATTGAGAGCTTTCGATGCCTGGTACCATTTTTGCATTAGTATAATTGTGTGGCAAGTACAATCATACTCTATGCCCAGGGAAGTCGAGGAATTTTCCAACCCGAAAAATCCCTAGACAGGACCGGGAGTCGAACCCAGCCACCTCCAGCATGGTATTGCTTTGTAGCTGCGACATTACCGACTGAGCTAAGGGAGGCCCTTAATTCGAAGTGTTTCTGGCTAATTGACAAGGTCATGTGTAATTCGGTCATTGCGATAATTTGTATGTACCTTTTCAATACTGTTAAATGAAAATTAACTCTCAAACAACAACCATTTTTAGTAAAAGGACCGTTTTATCGTGATGGTTGAGTAATGCTGAGTTATTAGGGTGCATGGAATTCAAAGGAAATTTTGGAAAGAATTTAATTAAAACTATGAGAATAATTCCAAAGGAATTTTTAGCAGTATTCCATAGTTATTCTGGTTATGCTTTTTAAAGAGTTCCAATGGAATTTTGAGGAGCATTTCAAGAAATTCATGGAACCAGTC